AAGAGTCTGGCAGCTCCCCCTCTCACTTTTGCATCTCCTCTCACCACGTGACCTCTGCATACACCAGCTCCCTTTTGCCTTCTGCTGGAGTGGAAGCAGCCTGAGGCTTCCCAGAAGCAGATGCTCATGCCATGCTTCTTGTACAGCTTGTGGAGCTGTGAGCCAAATAAACTCCTTTTCTTTATAAATCGCCTAGTTGCAAGTACTTACAGCAACACAGACAGACTCTGACACATACCTACATTTTTTTGCCTTTTCCAGAATGTCACATCACGGAATCATACAATATGCAAATTTTTTTCTTGAGATGGAGTCTTGTTCTGTTGCCAGGCTGGAGTGCAATGGCACAATCTCTGCTCACTGCTACCTCTGCCTCCCAGGTTCAAGCGATTCTCCTGCCTTAGCCTCCCAAGTAGCTGGGACTACAGGCACACACCAACACACCCAGCTAATTTTTGTATTTTTAGTACAGACGGGGTTTCACCATGCTTACCAGGATGGTTTTAGTCTCTTGATCTTGTGATCTGCCTGCCTTGGCTTCCCAAAGTCCTGGGATCACAGGCATGAGCCACTGTGCCCAGCCACAATATGTACATTTTAAGTCAGAGTTATTTCACTCAGTATAATGCATTTGATCTTCATCCTTGTTGTTGCATATATCACTAGTTCATTCCTTCATTCTTTTTTTTGTTTTGTTTTTGAGATGGAGTCTTGCTCTGTCACCCAAGCTGGAGTGCAGTGGCCCCATCTTGGCTCACTGCAACCTCTACCTTCCAGGTTCAAGCGATTCTTGTGCTTCAGCCTTCTGAGTAGCTGACGTTGCAGGCGCCCGCCACCACGCCAGACTGTTTTGTATTTTTAGCAGATACGGGGTTTCACCATGTTGTCCAGGCTAGTCTCAAACTCCTGGCCTCAGGTGATCTGCCCACCTTGGCCTCACACAGTGCTGGGATTACAGGCATGAGCCACTGCGCCTGGCCAGTTCATTCCTTTTTGTTGCTGAGTAGTGTGTTCCATTCTACGGAAGCACCACAGTTCTTTCCTTCACTTCTTGAAGGACACTGGGTTGTTTCCATTTTTCTTTTCTTAAAAGAAGATGGAGTCTTGCCGTATTGCCCAGGCTGGAGTGCGGTGGTGCAATCATAGTTCACTGCAGCTCCAAACTCCTGGCCTGAAGTAATCCTCTTACCTTGGCCTCCCAAAGTGCTGTTATTATAGGCATGCACACCAGGCCCATCCCAGCTTCTGGTTTCATTTCTCTAGCTATGAATAGGATTGCTAAATTATATGGTAAGCCTTTGTTTAACTTAAATCTTCTAAATTGTTTTCCACAGGGTCTGTATCAGCTGTCATTCTCAGCAATATATGAGAGCTCCAGTTCCTCTGCAGTCTCGTCAGCACTTAGTGCTATGGTTTTAAAGTCCTCTAAAAGTTCATGTGTTGGAAACTTGGTCTCTCACTTCTTTGGGAAGTGAGGGCTCTGCTGTCATGAATGGATTAATCATTTCATGGATGAATGGATTAACGGGCTGATGGATTAATGCATTATCAAGGGAATGTGTTAGTTATCACAAGGGTAGTATACAAGCCAGTTTGGCTCTCTTGTAGGACCCTCTTTCTCTGTGATGTCGTCTGCTATCTTGTAATGCAGCAAGAAGGCTCTCACCAGATGTCAGTGCCATGCCCTTAGACTTCCCATCCTCCAGAACTGTAAGAAATAGATTTCTGTTCTTTACAAATTATCCAGTCTCTGGTATTTGATTGTAGCAACATAAAATGGGCTAAGATGCTGGATGTTATGAGTTTTAAAAAAATATATTTTGGCCATTCTATTTAATAGGTGTGAGGCCGGATGCGGTGGCTCACGCCTGTAATCCCAGCACTTTGGGAGGCCGAGGCGGGTGGATCACGAGGTCAAGAGATCGAGATCATCCTGGTCAACATGGTGAAACCCTGTCTCTACTAAAAATACAAAAATTAGCTGGGCATGGTGGCGCACGCCTGTAGTCCCAGCTACTCAGGAGGCTGAGGCAGGAGAATTGCTTGAACCCAGGAGACAGAGGTTGCGGTGAGCCGAGATCGTGCCATTGCACTCCAGCCTGGGTAACAAGAGTGAAACTCCGTCTCAAAAAAAAAAAAAAAAAAATAGGTGTGTAGGGGCATCTCATTGTGGTTTTAATTTGAATTTACCAAGTGACAAATGATGTTGAGCATTTTTTCATGTGCTTACTTGCTATCATACGTCTTTTTTAGTAAAATTTCTGTTCCGATCTTTTGTTCATTTTCTAACTGGGTTGTTTACTTACTATTGAGTTTTGAGAGTTTGTATTGTATTCTGAGTACAAGTCTTTCATCAGGCATGTGAGTTTCAATAATTCCTACTAATCTACCTTCTCTTTTTATTCTCTTGTCTTTTGCAGAGTAAAATTTTTAAACTTGGTGAACTCCAATTTATCAGTTGCTCATTTATGAATCATGCTTTTGATATCTTACGTAGGAATTCTTTGCCTAAACCAAGACCCACAAACATTTTCTCCTATGATTTCTTCCAAAAGTTTTATAGTTTACATTTTCCATTTAGATCTGTGGTCCAGTTCGAGTTAATTTTATATAAGATGTGAAGTTCAGTATCCTTGTCCTTCCATCTAAATGTTGGACTTCCTTCAATATTCTTTTTTTAAGTGACTAATCTATCACCCAGATTTTCAAAAAGCCTGCAAGAAGCCTGTATCTTCTCTTGATAATGCAAATCTGTGTGGAGCAGAGGATTATTACCCTTCAGAGTGCTGAAGGTGATCTCAGGGGCTGTAGGATGCCTCCCTCTGTCCTTGGCTTCAATACACATTGTCCTTCAGGAGACTCAGGCTCCTTGGCACACGCTGAGCTACATGTGCAATATAACTGACTGTCAATGGTGTCGGTGATCATGACACCAAAGGCATTGTGCCTTGGGGCTTCCCCAAATGCTTCCTCAAAACATGTACAGATAGCCACTCTGACACAAAGAAAGCCCATTCTCAGACATACTGTTTCTAAGATGTAATGGTTTGAGAGTCTAGTAACACATAGCCATGCTTTCTTTGTAACCAAAATTAACTTGCTGGATCTTGACTGAGCCAGTGGGATTATCTATAATTGTTCTAGGTATTAAGATTGGATCTTGATGGCCAGGTGTGGTGGCTCACTCCTGTAATCCCAGCACTTTGGGAGGCAGAGGCAGGTGGATCACGAGGTCAAGAGATCGAGACCATCCTGGCCAACATGGTGAAACCCTGTCTCTACTAAAAATATACAAAAATTAGCTGGGCGTGGTGGCACATGCCTGTAGTCCCAGCTACTCAGGAGGCTGAGGCAGGAGAATGGCTTGAACCCGGGAGGTAGAGGTTACAGTGAGGAGCCGAGATCACAATACAGCACTCCAGCCTGGCGCCTGGCGGCAGAGCAAGACTCTGTCTCAAAAAAAAAAAAAAAAAAAATCTGTACTAAAACTACAAAAATCAGCCAGGTGTGATGGCAGGCACCTGTAATCCCAGCTGCTCAGGGGGCTGAGGCAGGAGAATCACTTGAACCCAGGCAGCAGAGGTTGCAGTGAGCTGAGATGGCACCACTGTACCCCAGCCAAAAATGATTGGATCTTGGTGTCTGCTGGATGGTGCATCCTGTTTTCCTTGGAAGAACTTACTGTGAGTGATGTTAAGGATACTGATATTCCAGTGGCAGGTGAAATGTCAAAGGTGAAAACTTCCTGCCTTTTATCCTTGAAATAATCCATGCAACCACCATACACAGCTACCATATTTGCAGGGTTTGCATCCAAGAGTTGATTGCAATTGAATTGCTAGAGGGTCTTCAGTAAATTGAGTGTTGTGCAATTATATAGTAATTCTCCATACAAGGATTGCCAAGACCAAAGGCCAGGGGTCTAAGGGGCAGGACCAGACTGATCAAATAAGGATGTAACGCTTAAAATGATTGCTGGTTTATATGGCCTCTTTGCTACTGCTGTGTGGTATTATTTATTTATTTTTTTCTGCTCCAGGGCCTGGAATGATATACATGCTCAGAAATGTTTGATGAATGAATGAATAGATGAATGAACAAATGTCACATTGATGATATGACGCTGTGATACTACTGACATTGACAATACTAGGCATTCCAGTAAAAGCTTTCAGTGCTGCATTTTTGTTTTCAATTCTCTATTTTGAGTGAAGGTGTCAGAGTTTACTCTTTATACATCCCTGAAGCTCTGGAACTTTGCAGCTGGAAATACGGCAGCCAAAGACATGGCATGGCAGAGTGGAAACAGCCCTGTGTGAGGTCAGGAGTCCACAGGGTCGGGAGAATTGGGTTCTCGTGTTGGCACTCCTGCAAGTTTGTATGGGCTTAGGGGAAGTTATATACATTTTCTAAGCTTCAGTTTTTTATCTGAAAAATCATGGCCTGACAATTTCTGATCCTTTTGAGTTGTGCAAGGCTAGGATTCAATCAAGATAACTTTCTCTTAACTCGTTGAAGTTGCTCACAAGACATGAAATGAGGGAGCCCAAAGCTTGCTTGCATTGTTCCTCCTGTGGCTTCTTATCTAGAGACTCCAAGCTGCAGTTTCTTGGGGCAGGGGTGGAGGTGGAGAGATGACAGCTCAGCAAAGGCTCTAGCTTATGGATCACATCAGACTTTAGCTGTTCATAATGGGGCTGCTGTGTTGTCAAATTAGTCCAAAGTCAAGTCCAAAGGGCAGGGGAGGGATAAGATCAGGTACAACAAACCCCGGGTTGGGAAATAGTGGGGAAGGAGGCGGTCACTGGGTCTCACAGCCAGAACCTGGCAAAGCAGCAATGACAACTGCGCAGGCTTCAAGGAGCTGAGTCCAGGACAGTGAACGCTGAGATGCAACCCCTCCTGCTCCCCTGTAGCTCCTTGTGAAGTTTCTCCATTTCCAGTTACCTGGTTGGGGAAAATATTTTCTCTCTCATGCTCTTCCTCCTCCTTCCTTCCAGCCTTCCCAGACACAACAGGACTATCACCTGCTGGGCACTTCACTGACACTCAGAGACCCGGGACAAGAGGAATGCACTCTACCATCAAGGAGGCCACAGATTACCCAATCTGAATTTCTCTCTGATTTCTGCTCACTTGTTTAAAATAAAAATATTTGTGTACTATTTGAATTTTGTGAAAGCTTTACATAAAACGGCCACTATGCAAATCTACGACCTGAGAGATAACCGTTATTAATTGTTGGCATTTACCTTCGGACTTTTAATGCATACGTTAATGTATATTTTAATATAAATGGAATTGTTCTGTACATTTTTTAATATCCTCAAACAATATAGCATGTGTCTTTCCATGATAACACTTAAAGGCCTACCTGATCTTTTTTAATGGTTCCAACATATATTTCAATATCAGACTATATCAAAATATATTTTACCAGCTTTTTTATTGTTAAACATTTGTTTTCATTTTTTAACTCTATAATGATCATTCTTATATATGCATCTCTATGAGTTAATTCTTATAGTGCCTGGAACTTAATGTGTGTAATTATTAGTAACCTTTTTAAACCTAATAACTCTTGACTTTGACCTTAACTTTAGCATCTTTTCATATGTTCTTCAAATTTTATGATCAATAAGAATTCATTGTATATTGATCTTTCATATAAGCTACAAAAATTTCCCTCAGTTTGTTACTTACATTTTAACTCTGGGTTTCTTTTTTCTTTTCTTTTCTTTTTTTTTTTTTTTTTTTGCCATATAGCAGTTTTTGTAGTTTTATTTTTATGTAGCCAGATCTGACAGTCTCTACTTTTATGACTTGTGAATTTTATATATATTTGAATATAAGAATATATTATATTCTCATTCAGTCTCACACACAACTCACTCAGTTTTATAGGTTTTAAAATGCCTGTTTCTTTTTCCATAAATGATTAGTCTTGCTGGGATCTATTTCTGAACATTCTGTCAGTCGGTACCAATTTTTTCCAAAAGAGGGTACTAAATTAAAATAAAAGCTTAGAAATTGTTCTCCACCTGCCCCAAGGGTCACAGGTATTCTTGCTAATTCATAGTGGAAAAATAATTTTTAAAATGTTTTATAGTGATTTGCAAGTTACAAAGCTTGCTTTTATACTCTAGCAGTTGAGAGTCTTTCTGTCCCAGATAAGAGAAAGCCTGACTTACACTGGTTTAAATAAAATATTTAATAACTCATTTATTTGAAAAGATCAGAGGTCACATGAGCTTTGGATGTGATTTGACTCAAAAGCTCAGTAATCTCACTATCCCTCTTTCTGCTTCATCTTTAGGGCCCTCGCACTCCTTAGGGCCACGTGATGATTTCCAGCAATTTCCAGAGCTACATGTTCTCTTATTTGATTGCTCTTTCAGAAGGGTGACCAGATCTGCCAGTAAATTTCTCCTTGGTTTTAAAAATCATCGTAGCCAGGGAGATGATGAATAGTTCCTTTAGACTGAGACCATTAGGGTCTACCCTAAAGCTGGGGGTCGAGGGGAGAATGGTGGTAAAACATAAGATGCACTGGGGACAGGTGATAGCCATCCAAACAAAAGTTGGAATCACATAACCAACAGGAAGGGGAAATGGAAGCTGAGTGCTGAAATTAGCAACTGCTCATCACACACACTCGGTCCTGCTTGATACAAGAACACTGAAGGTCGATAGCTACTAACACACCTATCTTACACATGAGGATACTGAAGACTCCAAGAGCTGTATGTCTTGCCCTTGGTCATTCATCTAGTCGGTAGCAAGGATCAAATCTAGATCTTATGATTCTAGATTCTCTGCTCTTCCAGTATCCTAAATTACCACTCTACTGGCTTAAATACTGCTGAGTATATGGGACTGAGTCAGTCCTACAAACTTGTTTTTAAAAACTAAAAAGGAGAGCCGGGCGCGGTGGCTCACGCCTGTAATCCCAGCACTTTGGGAGGCTGAGGCGGGTGGATCACGAGGGCAAGAGATCGAGACCATCCTGGTCAACATGGTGAAACCCCGTCTCTACTAAAAATACAAAAAATTAGCTGGGCATGGTGGCACGTGCCTGTAATCCCAGCTACTCAGGAGGTTGAGGCAGGAGAATTGCCTGAACCCAGGAGGTGGAGGTTGCGGTGAGCCGAGATCGCGCCATTGCACTCCAGCCTGGGTAACAAGAGTGAAACTCCGTCTCAAAAAAAAAAAAAAAAAAAAAAAAAAAACTAAAAAGGATGCCGGGTGCAGTGGCTCATGCCTGTAATCCCAGCACATTGGGAGGCTGAGGCAGGAGGATCACCTGCAGTCAGGAGTTTGAGACCAGCCTGGCCAACATGGTGAAACCCCATCTCTACTAAAAATACAAAATTATCCGTGTGTGGTGGCACATGCCTGTGGTTCCAGCTACTCGGGAGCTGAGACAGGAGAATCGCTTGAACCCGGGAAGCAGAGGCTGCAGTGAGCTAAGATCATGCACCACTGCAGTCCAGCCTGAGTGAAACAGAGTGAAACTCTGCCTCAGGAAAAAAAAAAAAAAGTTAAAAAGGTCAAAGGTGATACTAGCTATTCAACACAAGGGTGAGTCGTGAGGATGTGATGCTCCTACTGTGGGCAGAACAGCATGTGAGTTTCCACTATGGTGGCACCAAAGAATTGGAGGATCCTGTTCTCTCTTAGCCTGGGTTCCCTGAAAGAAAAGCATAGGATCATGGCTTATGCGTGGATGGTTTAGTTGGGATGTGACCACAGGGAGCAGGAAGGAGGGTTGGTGGGGAATAGATGGGGTAGAAGGCTGGGGAGAAAATCCAATGCAATCTAGGCAGCCATGCCTATAAGTGATTGCTGGATCCCACAGCAGCTGTGTGTGTGTGAGAGAGAGAGAGAGAGAGATGGGGTTTTACTCTTGTTGCCCAGGCTGGAGTGCAATGGTGCGATGTCGGCTTACCGCCACCTCTGCCTCCCGGGTCCAAGCGATTCTCCTACCTCAGCCTCCTGAGTAGCTGGCATTACAGGCATGCACCACCATGCCCGGCTAATTTTGTATTTTTAGTAGAGACGGGGCTTCTTCGTGTTGGTCAGACTGATTCCGAACTCCTGACCTCAGGAGATCTGCCCGCCTTGGACTCCTAAAGTGCTGGGATTACAGGCATGAGCTGCAGTGCCTGACCATCACAGCAGCTTTTGAAAGCTCTCTGGAGTGTGTCTCAGAACTGTGGGGAGAACAGGGGAAGCATTGATTCAAGAGCTCCCATCCCCAGTGGAAGACGGTTCCTTCATAGGATGTTGTTACCCCACATTTTTGGGCGTACATGAGTGAGTGCCCTGTGGGTTGCCTGGGACACCCCAGCCAGCCACTGCGTGTGAGAAGCCAGGGACGGGCAGTGAGAAGAGGCATGCTCAGCGTGCTGCTGCACGAAGCTGGTTGGATAGAATTGCTCACTGCAGCAGTGGCTGGAAGGAGAGGGGACGAGAACATTTTAAGTGGAGCATAAGCGGTTTTCCTACATGATCCATTATAAGCTAATAATACAGGCCAGGCACTGTGGCTCATGCCTGTAATCCCAGCATTTTGGGAGGCCAAGGCGGGAGGATCACCTGAGGCCGGGAGTTCAAGATCAGCCTAATGAACATGGAGAAATCATTGTCTGTAATCCCAGCTACTCAGGAGGCTGAGACAGGAGAATTGCTTGAACCCAGGAGGCGGAGGTGGCAGTGAGCTGAGATCGCACAATTGCACTCCGGCCTGGGCAACAAGAGTGAAATTCCATCTCAAAAAATAAACCCCAAAAATAAGCTAATAATACAAAACTCGAGTTAGGAAAGTGATACACAAGCCCAAATTCCTCTTTACTTAGTTCATGTCTGTTAATTCTTCCTTGGAATATTACAACCACCTTCTAAAAAAGTGTTCCTAGTTTCTCCTCATTCAACTACTGAAGTAATCTTTCTAAAATTAATTTCAAAAGTTGTTATTATTTTACTGAAAGGTTCATTACTCCCCCACTGTTTCCAGGAATATGTACGAATTCCTTTGCTTGACATTCAACATGCTTCACAATTGGCTTTACTCTAGTTAAACAGCTGTGCTTCCCGTAACTGCCTCCAGCTGGACTCAAGCCAGTGACATTTCCTTACCGTTTGATAAACAGGCCAAGATTATTCCTTCTCGGTGCCTTTGCTAATATTGTCCGCTCTAACAGGCAGGGATGATATGCAAAACATTTACCAACTGCTGTGGAGCACTAACCAATGAGCGTGGAGACTGAGCCAATCAGAACTGATATCAGGTGTAACTGCCAGTATGCGTTGACCGGTTGGGTCAGTCCTGCCCCCAGCCTCCATTCGCTCTACTGAAATTCCATTTCTTTCATCTTCCATGAAGTTTTCCTGGACTGCTGCTGCCCAAGTTGGTCTTTTCTATTTTTACTTTTTTGAGACTAATTACTACCTTAAATTCTTGTATCCAGAATCTTATTATAGGTGTTCATGTGAGTATACAAGAGTCTGAAACACCACTTTTTGGGCAGTACATTCCTCATCTCCTCTCCATATGGTAACACCTTTGTGATCTTTTCTTTTGAGATGGAATTTCACGCTTGTTGCCCAGGCTGGAGTGCAATGGCATGATCTCGGCTCACTGCAACTTCCATCTCCCGGGTTTAAGCAATTCTCCTGCCTCACTCTTCTAGTAGCTGGGATTACAGGCATGCACCACCACACCCATCTAATTTTTGTATTTTTAGTAGAGACGGGGTTTCACCATGTTGGCCAGGCTGGTCTTGAACTCCTGACCTTGTGATCTGTCTGCCTCAGCCTCCCAAAGTGCTGGGATTACAGGTGTGAGCCCCACGCCTGACATGATATTTCTACAGAGAGTAGAAAGATAGAAGTCAGTCTTTCCTATAGCATGGCTGATGAAAAACAATTTTTTGTTGTTAATATTTCAGAAAAGTTTCAGCATTGAAAATTCATGACAAACAATTCGTGACTGATAGTGACATCGATTTAAGAATTTTTGTCAAATACAAGGAAAACCTTTTAAGTTTTCTTCATGTGTAACTATAACATTTCAGTGAATTTCAAATATCCTTGAAATGCTCTTTGAATTGCTTTTTGAATTAGACATATTCTTGGAAGCCATCCCAACACCATGATGGCAGGC